TGTAATGTTTCTGAAGCTCATGTAGTTCCAAGTGCAAGTGTTATTTAAATCTCTCTCTTAGAAGACAGAATATTTAAAATAACATTAGCGCAATTCTAATTATGACGTTGATTATCATGACACTCGATACCTTCTATAACTTATTTGTAAGTCGACAGTATTTTAAAAGGCCAAATACAATACGAGTACTGATTGCGAATCTTACATATAATAGTATTTCAACCGCGGTGGTGTAGCGAGAAATATGTTTCGGGAGGGGCTGTAGAAATCAGTTTTTTAATTTTTTAAATGTTCTTTTTTATATTAGTGACACATTTGATAAGCATAAACCAAAAAAGTTTCGTTTAAAACAAAATTAATTCAATAGCAAAAAAGTTATGATAATTTATAATATTTATATACTACATGTTGTAATGTCGCGTCAGACGTTTCGCTGACGCTGCATATAAATTGTCATAATTTTTTTACTATTACATTTAAAGATCTAAAACTTTCCAGAAAACTTCTTCAAATATTCAATGTAGCATTAATGAAAATTTTTTATTCGAAAATTCGTAACACAACTTTAACGTTTAAAGAATTCACTAAACGAAATTATTCACTCGACGAAATTATTACAAATCCATCATTTTGTTGTAAAGTGCTTCGAAAATTTCGGAATAGCTCTACAAGTCGTAAAATATGTCAAAGATTATTGTGTAAAAATTTGAATAATAAATATTAATATCCGGCTGAGATTTCGCGAGTTAAAGTGCTGCCGTTCTCCCAACGTTACTTTTTGCGGTTGTACTAATAACAACATTTTTCTTCCGTGTAATTTATCGAATTTTTGTTTACATGCCAAATACAAAGGAAAATCAACAAATATATTTTTAATATATAATAAACTATATTTTTGCTAACTAAATTAAATATGAGAACTATCCCAACAGGATTTAATTTCCTCTCTCAAAACAAATTGATATTTACGGCTCAACAATTTTTTACACATTCTTATGAAATTATAGAAATTATTAAGAATTTCGGGGGGGACTGCAGCTCCCACAGCTCCCCTCCTCCCGATTACGCTACTGATTTCAATAATAAACATTTAATACATGTAAAATGCCTACATAAGCTCCGTGAATGTTGGTGCGTAAATTAAACATTGTGTACAATCCGCAACTAATTGGGATATACTTAAAACGAAATTAATTAAAGTAAATTTAAACATTTCTACTCTGAATTGAGTCTTGTTCAGTGCAGAAGTCAAGTGCAAATTAGTTGCGAGTATTTATCGCGTTATGAATATATAATTTATACACACCAACATTCACAGTCTCCGCAGAAGCTTTTATCCATATAGGCATTTCATTTGTATTAGATTTATTCTTGGTGCCACAAATATTACTATATCTTATTTTATTTCAATAAACATATAAACACTATGCTCCAACATCTGTGTTTGGCTCTCTTTAACTAATTTTATCCTTTTCTTTTAGAAATCTTAATTTCAACAGATTCATCCATTAATTTTTGGATTTTTGGATTCTGCTATTTCTAAGGAAAAAATTTTAAGGAGAAAATCATATACAATAGAAAGCAGAATATTTTAAAAAGTGGAATTAAATTAATTTAGAAACGTAAGTATTTTATCAAATTGCTGTACTATCTAAAAAGAATTTGCATTTACTTAATTCCTATTTATACAAATTTAACAAGTGTAAAAAATCGCAAATCATTTTTTACTAAAATCTTTTTTTGTTTTCTAGCATGCGTTAAAACCTTTGTACTGCATAAATATTGATTATACATGGAAAGAATAATTTTGCTAAAGTATCTAAAAATTTATTTAAATCTAAAATAAGTTCGTCGAATCTTCAAAATAATATCATGATGATTCAAACATGATAAGCAACGCTGCAAAAAAATTTGACGTTCTAGCAACCGGTTTGATCATCCTTCAAACTACTTTGATAGTTTAATAACATTATTTTTAAATCTGTATTTATATGTACACGGAGAGAATTTTTTTTAAAGTTTATCCTGAAAATATGATAGTCGTGGGACAACATTGTATTTCCAAGAATTTTAATTTAAATTTATCTCATTCATTAATAAAACTACAATAAAGTGTAAAATAAGTTTGATTAATTTTACTAAAGTGCAGGGTAAAAATCTTTAAAATATTGTCTTGCACCACAATTACCATATTTTCGGGATGAATTTTAAAACAAAATTCTCTCCGTGAAGCTAAATTTTTAGATATTTTAATAAAATCGTTCTTTCCATGTTTATCTTTTCCAATTTTTAAATTAAATTTAATAAATTTAAATTTGAAAATAAACTTTTTGTGTACACATAAAATAAATTTGATTACATCTCTTATTTTAATTACGTGTATGCAAGATAATATCAATTTCCTTTTTATTTAATTCACAAATTACACAAAACTAAAGACAGCATTCCCAGATAAAATGTAAAAAAATATGGTTTTACATCATTTTCAAAACACTCTTAGAAGTTAAAAATATTGTATTGAATGTGATTTATGTGCATAAATTTTATTTAAAGCTACAATGGAAGGAAAATTTTTTTATGAAGTTTGAAACATAAATTCAACCTACGTCAAGGAAACTTTTTACCTTATAATTGATCCTTTTATCTTGTTCCAAACTTTTGCTAACTGGAAACAAGTACAAGGAACGCTGTTGACTCGTGATATTCTTGATTATGCAATATTAAGATGCAAATATTAAGACAATTTTGGCCAAGGTATTATTGCACTTCTGTAGCAAAGAACGGTCCTATTACAAAGAAGAAACTTGAATTTAGGCTGAACCAGTTTTCAGGCTTTCGTGATTCGGGCTAATAGAAGCTCCACCTAGGACGAGTTCATACCTATCTAGAACAAAAATACTCCTATTATCCGAGAACATTGTCTTTGGCACACTTCCATGGAAATTGCATAAGTTATCCTTTGACGCCTTTGCAGTCTTATTACATATGCATAAGTGAAATATATTTCTCAAATTAAACAGCCTCGATCTGGAAAAAATCATTCCTTTGGAAATAATTAATTGACCAACACAATATAATAATAATTTTATAATAATCCTGTAAATATAAACTCATTGTTAAACATTGTTAAACAGTAAATTCTAAAGTCAATTAGTTTGTAGTTAATATTTAAGTAAAATAAGCTCCTTTAATTTTTATATTAAAAATATTTTGTATTAAAAAAATGTTAATTATTTGTTATAAATTATTATAAATATTAATATTTTTATAATATTCAATATATGTATAATAATATTCAATATATGTATAATTATAATAACTTTTCCTGGACACTCATAATTTTTAAATTAACTCATTAATTTTTCTTCAGAAAAATAAATAGCTTATTGTATGTCTTCTCTGAAATTAAATATTAATTAGCAAGAAAAATTTATACATATAAGAAGTTTCGATTTCTTAACATGTTTGACGTCAGGCTACATTTTATACGTATATTTAGATCTGAGATGTTAGTTATTTTGTAAGCGAAACAAGTTATTTTTGTAGAGTACCGTAAATTTTTGCCTATATTAATAATTTAAAGAAAGTTTGTAGGAGGAAAGGATAGCAGTAAATGAGGTGTTTATATGTCAAAACGCTTCATTTCTAGCGTTTGTTTTTCGAAAATTGTTACTTTTAAAATTTGAATATGGCGCGCTAGCCGTTCATCTGTTCGCGCGAGCGGGCGACAAGTGATTCGCAATTCGTCGCGCGCACGGATCGTAACGTTACATCGCTCGTAATGAGCTGCGAATTTTCGGCTGCACAGCCGCGCAGATATTCGGAAATCCAGGTAATTTTTCCGCATGAAGACCGTTAAGCCGTTAATCTCAAAGCGTATGATGTATAATATTAGTATATCACCGATTAGTCATCGCATAAACGAACAGAGTCGAAATTAACATCCGCGGCTGGCTCAAGCAAGTAATGGCACAATCGCGAATTCGCTCTCGCGCAAAGATTTACTAAAATGCCAAAGAAAAAAGATTCAAGACATATGAGAAAGACTATAAAAGAATATAAGAGCGTAAATAAGAGAACGAAGGAAGTATCTGTATCTAAACGAAGGGGGATGGGGGGCAGGGAATTATTTCTTATTGATGCGTTCGGGACAACGACAAGGTATAAATCGTAATCATGTTATTGTAATGATACCCCGCTTGGCTTTCGGTCGCAGGTAATTCAAAATTGTAGGCAATTTTTCCACATCTAATAAGCTGTTCGTTAGCATCGTACTGTATGATATTTAATATCTCCGAGAAATTAATCGTGCGCGCTTAATGAAAAGTAAATTAATTTAAGGGAAAATTATTCTCGCATCACTAAGATGAGAAAATTGATATTCACGGAAACGAGTACTTCCAGAACCATGTACGATTATTGCTTCCTTTTGTAAAGATCCAATAAAATTCAGAGATTAAAAAATGTTCGAATAATGCTAGATTTAAATAAAAGCGGATAAAAGACGATTAGTTATGGAAGAGTAAAATTAGATTATTCTTTAGTTCTGCGAAAAATCTGATCATCTCGTATAGATAATTTCATATAGATTACGTACCTACTATACGATATCACGCATTGCACATCAATATGATTAAAATTTTAAAGGTAATGTATGAGATTGGAAATGAAAACGAAATGTAAATTGATATAAATATTTCAGTGAGATTTTACAATTATTATTTATCAAACTATTGATAAATAATAATTGTAAAATAATATCAATGATATTAACAATAGATATAGAAACAGAAATAAATATTCGAATATTTTCCTTTTGCACAAATATGATATTATAAAATTCAATATAAATACAAATATTTAAATACATATTTATATAAAGTTACATTCTTCGTTACAATATATACGGAAATGAAAAAAATAGTACGCTGCATTATATGCTATAAAAATAATTTAATTCACGCAGAAATATTCACAGCAATATAAATCATAATGAATATCAAAGTAATACTATTCGGAATTTTATACATTGGTTTCTTTAAACGTAATACGTATTTCTAAATTAATATGTATACAAATTATGACAATTGTATTCTATTGTGCTTTGGATTTTTTTACAGCATCCTTTTGTGACTTTGGACGTTTGTTTGACTGTTCTTTAGATTCTTCTCTAAAATTATATTTTTCCTGTAGTCTCTCCCTAATGAGTAAACCCCTAATAAGTTTCCTCCAGTTGGCATAAACTTTTTTCTTAGCTTTTTCAGCGGCTCGTTTAGCTGCTTCAATTTGTTCTGCTTCCCAAGCTTCTCGTAACGTGTCTTCGTATTCAGCACACACGACATAGCCCTCAATGGCTGGTACAGCGCCCATGCAACCGAAATTGAAACCTACTACAGCAGTCGCGCAATCTATGTTTAATTTACGCGCGACGCGATTTAATCCTGGAACTATAAGGATTTATTCATTGAATTTGCATTAGAGATATACATTGCAATACTGCAACATTCAGTCCTTTCATTTTGTATAAAATATAAATTCTCTTAATATATTTATAAAATTTTCTACATTAATTTTGTTATTCATTTTACTCAATGTGAAATAATATGATAAAATGTAAAAGAGATATCATATTGTTAATACGAAAATATATTATATTACTTACGGATTATATGTACTGTGCCCTTTGGAAGCATACATTTTTTAAATAAATCCACATTTCCATATTCATTTCGAGGTACAATACCATCTTTAGCCTCTGGGGGAACGTAGTCTGTAGTTTGCCATTCTCCAAATAGTTCCAATGCAGAGTCCTTCAGTCTCATACCTGAAAGCTATAATATTTTTGTTACATATTTCATTTAATAATTTTTATAAAATATGGAGCTAAGTTTATTTCTATTTTTCAGTTAAATTCTAAAGTATCCTAAGAGATTATGCTTATCAATTTTACCTTGTCATATTTTGGAAGTGCTTTAACTATTTTGTAAGGGTCCTGCTTCGGTTTAACAACTCGAGCTTTCTTTAACCACGTCTCTCGGGAGCATAGCGTATGTACGCAATACCGTGAATAAATAGCTTCGCCCGTTTTCAAATGTCCTAATGGTACACAATCTGATGGATACAAGGCTTCGTATTTAAGTAAATGTCTGATAAGAACGTATAACGGATGTCCTTTGCATTCGCCAACGGTTTTAGGCAATGGTTGCTCCAATTCCCTGTGAAAACAGTGGTGCTTTGTTATATTCCAGATCTTTTATATCATTCACATCGTAGATAGAATTAAAAAAGTATGATTAGGGAAAATAAAAGAGAGATTACTTTTGCAATAATAATTCATCTTCTTGCTTAGATATGGTCGTCTCTCTTTCTTGCCAATAACTTAAAGTCTCAATCCACCATTTCTCATCAATACGCTGTTTACGTGTGACAGAAAGCCACTGTGGACAGTAGCGTCTTGTTACATCCTTTACTAATCTTTCTGAATTATAAGCTATTACATATAATACTGGCTTGCTTGCTTTTTTCTGAAACATTATTGTATAATTGATTTCATACAAATCTTTTATTTATATACAGAATAATTATAAGAGTTCTTTTGTATAATTATAGAAATCTGTTACTTTTTCAAATTACTTACATATATTTCAGCTACACAATCTACACTTCCATTTATAACATTTACGCATATCCAGCTTGCTTTAGATTCCACATATATTTCGGCCCATATATCTTGTCTCTTTTTCAATTTGTCCATTTCTTCATCTGTCGAAGCTTGATCCTGTTTTTCATTCTTTCTTTTAGATTTAATGGCTGTTTTATTTTTATCACTACATTTCCTTTTTGCTTTGCTAGGTGACTCTTCTTCTTCTTTTTCGGAACTTGAACTATTACTTCGTGACTGTCTCTTGGCATTTTTTGTTTTAGGTTGGTTATCTTCTGAAATAATCTTATTTTGTTTGATTGAACTGGATGGAACATTGTGCTTACTAGATCTTAAACGCCTTGGAGATGGACCTGATGGACCAGACTCTACTTTTCTCGAACTTGTGGAAGCTGTTTCTATATTTTTGGATGTAGAAGCATCATCTTGCGTCACTATATTGCTGTTTAATTTGTCTTTGTTTTTCTTACTATATGAATACTTTGAACGAAGAATCTCTGCTGCCCTTTTCTTTGCTTCTTCATTAGCGTTTCTTCGTGCATTTTCGTTATTCTGAATTATACTGCTATTTTTGAGATCTTTCTTTGAATCTACATTTTTCTTAGTTTCCTTTGAATTCGTATTTTTCTTATTTTCCTTTGAATTCACATTTTTCTTATTTTCCTTTGAGGATGTCTTTTTCGCTTTTGTCTCGTCTTTAATTTGACTATCTTTTTTCACTGTGCTTGTTTTAGGCAGTAATTCGTTAGAAGCTTTTACAAGTGGTGGATTGAGAGATACTACTAAACGACAATGAAAGCCAATACCTCTCAGTATTGCTACGTATAATATTACTAATTCCCTGTAATTATAAATTTTCTTCTCTGCAATTCTTTTTAATAACGTCTCCTTATTTATAATAACTTGATCATGACTAGATTGTATTGTAAACATATTTTTAAACCATTTTGTAAATTTTTCCAGGTATTCTAAACTAAAGTTATCCTTTGGATAACTTTTTGTTGATACAAGAGATACCGCTGTTGCCATTATCTCAGGTTCATTAGCTTGATGATTTAAGTGAAATCCATATGCTAACCAACAAAGTCTAGCTGCTTTTTCTATAATAATCTGATTAGCTTTTAATTTTTTTCGCAGAAGCGCAGCCAGATCTGATTCCCTTTTGTTGGCTGTTTTCTTTTTGAAAACCATACTCGTACCAGGTAAAGTTATTTGAACACCTTCCTTAGGTATAGTATAATCTTCAGGACGTTTAACATCCTCTTCTTGCTTCTCGTCGTCATTCGTGTCTTCGTCGTCTTCGCGGAATGCTTGTGTTCCACTTTCTCCTTGGAGCAAAACAGCGTTTATCTCGTCTGATATATTTTTCTTCTTTTCTATTTTGATTTCTTTCGTGACGTGTGTACTATCGTACTTGGAAAAGTGCTGTTCGGGCTCCTCATCATTGACAGAAGCTCTCTGTGAGGCTTCCAGATTCTTGACCACCTCCGAGAACAGTTCAATGCTATTGTTCTCGGGTACACTCGCGAAATTCTCATCGTCGCTGCTCTCATCCTCGCTATTGTCCTTCCAGTCTATTAGGTTAGGCTTTGTCACCGATTTTACTGAAAAGAAACTCGCTGTCAGTTCATCCTTTGGCGTGATACCGGCGAAATCGTTACTGCTGTCGGAACTGTCATCGTCGGAATCCTTCATATTGAGTGTTATCCTGCAAAATACGATGTTTTTAATCTCTTATTACATGTTATTGTTCGTTATTACTGTGCTTAACTTACTGCAATATCTTGTCTTTAAAATTGATTTTCCTTATAACGCAATTTAGCAAAGATCGACTGCCTTATATGTAATTGTCAGGATTTATATTATGTAGATGAACTTATACGCAATAATATAAAACAACAAGAACACATTGCACGTGTGTGACAAGAGACGCAAGAAAGCATTGTTATGAAACAGTAAAAGTAGACTATTATTATCTTAAAATTTCTTTAATAAACAATTGGATAAGATAAGAAAATAGATTTCTGATAAAAAAAATAGAATCTATATGAATAATATAAATACGTTTATTTTACACAGAGAATTAAATTGAATTAGAGTGAATTAAATTATTTTTTGTTTAAAAATGTGATTACACAACATTGTGAATATTGTATATTATAAGTATAAATTACATATTTTTTATATTTTAAGATCAGTTTTTTACAATTATATTTTTATAATATTTTAAAAATATATTTTAAATAATTTTATATATTCTTACAATATTTTATATATCATATCTTAAAAAGGATTTAATATTTTTTTTTACAATTTTTATCGACTTTTAAAGCCCTTGTAAAAAATAATATCGTCTTTTATCAAGATTTTTATTATTATATAATTCTTTAGAGTGCGGATGTATTATCAGTTTCCTATAATATATTCCATATTCATTTGATTTGAATCCTTTTATAATTAATAATGCTAATAAACCGACTTTCATGGATATGATGGATAGCGTGTAACGTTGACAACAAAGCTGGTTTATCCAACGTTCGTTTATTCTTTGCTTTATATGCGACTGTGAAATTTATATCCTTGCATAACAAAAGCTAGAGATTTTATGAAATATTATAGTAACGAAGATCTCTTGTTGAAAAAAAATGTGAAATGTGTAGCGTGATGGAAAAGAGCATGCACTAAATATTAGGAATTAAGTGCACGCGGTAATGTATGAATTTTGCAACACGCTTTTCGTTGTATCGAAAGGTGTCACGTGCACTTAAACTCGTTCATTCGAATGATTCCTGGAATCATAATTATTGTGGAATACAGATGAACATGATTTTATGCCCAAGGGAAATAATTCGGAGTTATATTGTAGAATTTTTCATAAAATTAATAATGAATAACATTTCTACTAGAACAGTTTTCATAATTTAAATATTATTCCTTATAGTTTTCAATTTTTTCATGGCGTTGTTAATATTGAATTTTATTGGTTTAATCTTTCATCACACAGATGATTTTACAGTTATCGACGTTTTTTGGGTATAAAGAGATTATCTCTTTTTTTTTCCATTTTGTTCTCGATAATGTTTGTAATTGAATCGATATGTGGTAGTGCGGCGATGGATTTTCTACTACGGAGAATTGCATAACGAATAGGGACTCACATTTTTGATTATAGATGATGAATTATTTTACGATAGTAACATACTAATATTTATAAATAATAAGCAAACAGATATATTCATCTCTTTTGTGGCGTTAGCGGCTTTCTCTGAGCGCGTGCATTGCCTCCGGCAATTTATCGGGATACGTCGAGAGTTTGTCAGCATCTCGTACACCTCTACTCCCTGAATATGGCTCGACGTAATGGATAATTGGCGATCCGATGGCCGATGTACAATACCTAAGTGCATTTGTGTGTAAAGCTAGTGTCGACATTTGCCTTGTTTGGTCACATTTCATATCCAATGTAGAACCATATAGAATCCGATAAAGTGGGAATAATAAATCCTGCATGATTTAGTATGTTCCATTATCCGTTAATAAAATTCCTTTCTCTGAAATTATCCGCGATAATTAAATCAGGATTCGAAATTGGGTATATTTTTTCACAGTTTATTAATTATTAAAAGTTGTTAAATAAAACGAAATATATGTAGAAATAAACAGAATGAAATAAATTACGTAAATGGAAAAAGCTTCAAACTAAAAGAAAAGGATATTTTAATTTCTGTAACTTATAACTGGAATATTATCGATAGATGTTAAAACGAAAAATATCGTTTTTAGATATGGACTATCCATGATCAAAAGCAAGTGTGGATGCTTGGAACACTGCGCATCTTAATATCAGCGTTCAGGATTTCTAAAGGATTTCTAATATAAAGGTATGTGCATAAAGTTTTCAAAAACCAAACCTTTAACCAAGAACGGAGCTATTGTATAAAACTGCCATAAACAACGGCCGCATACATATACATGAATTTGTGATTCAAGATTCGTTCGTGGTTACCAAAATTGTTAAAAATATTTAATATATGGGGTCGTATTTCGTGTATAGATTATCGTTACAATCCATTTTACGTTTTATTGAAAAAGATTGAGTCTGTAATATAATTTTTATGGAATTATAAATTATATATTATTAATTCCAATCTTATTATTGTTTGATGAAATTATAAATACAAATTACGCAAAAATGGAAAAAAAGTTTCTATTCATGTGGAACATTCACAAGTTTAAACATTCGTATTTTATATTTCATACTGCAATTTTTAAAACGTTGAAAGTTTTTTACTATGTTTTTTGTATTTTAGTAGCTTTATTATGGAGTATACCTCATTATAGTACATGAAGTATGAGTCTCTCTTTGTACATATATGTATATATTTTATTATTTAAATTACAAATTTAAAATATAATATTGTAGAAAATTTGAAATTATTGCAATACTTTGTCCATATAAATTGTATAGTCAAATTGTGTACATTATGTACATATATTTTGCATGTAAATACACAAATTATGTAAAAAAATAATAATGGTTATTGTTTATATAGAGTTATTGTTCATACAGAATTTTATTAATATTGTTACGTAACATTTATTTTATAATAAAAAGATTAGATTCTATAATATACGTGTTATACATAAGATATGCTAGAACTCTTGAGTTTTTAGAATTCTAGCGATTGATTTGATAAACAAGCAACAAGATTTTTAATAAACTCTTTCCATTTACATTCTATAAAATATTTTCTAGCGATATAAAATTTTTATAATGTAAAAACTTATTTATTTTAATAACACTGTGTTATACACATAATGTGAATTTGCTGTCTGTATATATAGCGCTTTACCTTGATATTGTTCCCCATATGAGGATATGAGATAATTACAGCTTGCACAGCTGTTACGAGATATGGTTTGTTCGGCAGCTGGATCGAGATGTAGCTAATCCAAATTGTGTTTCCGGTATCAAGCATTCGTTAAGACTTTTAATTACCCCCAGGCCACTTTCAAGTATAAAGTTTCTAATTAAATACTGTTAAACTCCATGAAATCAGTTTCAAACTCTTTTTGGTTTAAATGCATATTTAAGGAACAAGTTGCGACGAAGCAATTACGGAACCCGTGACTTTTGATTTACTGATTTCGAGTTTTAATCTGTCAGAAGTTTAAATAAAAAAAAATAAACGGATAGATGGTATCTCGATTGTTTTAAAATGATGGCTTCCAATATATTAAATTGTTAGCGATATAAAAGTCGATGCTTATTATTATTTATGTTCGATTTTTCAATAATATATTATTATTACTATTGTATGCATATATACGACTCTTACATTTTTTCTTACAGATTTATACAAATTCTTTTATCTCATGTTTACTTTACTTAAATATGAATTCTGATTAAAATATCTTTCTGTCCTGTAAATAAAGATTTAGGGAATTTTTACAAATTGAACTTCAGAGACAAAACTTCTCATTAGATAAAACTTCTTATCTTTTATTCAATATCAAATAAACTATTTTAATAGATTTTTAATTTGTAGATTGACTAAAATGATATTGGAGACTAAACGTTAAAAAGTTGCGGCGAAAGACAATTCAATTATATTAATCCTCCTTTACGGAAACTTTAACTTGGTCAAAGAATTTTTAAGTGGAAATAAAAGTGGATAACTTGGAACACATCTAAAATATAACGTTAATGACACAAAGTACATCGTATTTGAATTTTTGTATTTTTATTGTTTAAAAACAATAATAATTTTATTTATAGTGCGTTGATACACGCAACGTTTCAGCTGTTACAGCATGCGGGTAAAATAACGACATTGCGACACGTGTACCGATATAATTTACTTCTTTGTTAGTTAAATATTACGATCGATAAAAACAATGGTGTTGCTTAAATGATCAGGTCACGCGAAAATTAAACGTCATTCGTAAGCTCAGTCGGAAATAAATAATCGATAAAAACGGGATTTGCCGGTGTTTAAAATTATTTGAATCTATTGAGAGATAACATAAACTTTATACGTACAAATAATATAGTATTTACACTTGATATATCATGCATGAAAAGATTATATATAATACAATATTTATAATAAAAAGTAATGAAAGAATTCTTTCGAAAGAGTTTTATTGTTGCTTGTGTTACTTTGTATTATTTGTAATCAGTTTTATACGACGTGACGTTTCAAAGTGATTGACGTGAAGGAAGTAACGTCATTCTCCTGAAAACAATGTAGTTTTATTAAAATTTCGATATGTTATAATTTTACAGGGAATATTAAAAATTAATAAGTTCTTCAATTTATTACTCATATGGTCGTTGCACAAGTATAAGAATATCGGCGAGATGTTAATGCGTATCAGACTACATATTGGAGATTGAAGCATTAGATTTCGGCAATGGAATTTCAATCAGATAAGTTTAATTTCAATCCGTTTCGTTCTAATTGGTTGAATTCTAATTTCCAATTCGCAATCCTCAATCTCCAATGCGTAATCTGACACGGACTTTATTCTTACTTTCCAATTACTGCCGTGTCATTTTCAAAGTGCTTAAGTTTTTAATCTTAAATATAATTTATAAATAGTGGATTAATAATTATTTATTACTTCTCCACATTGTTATTTTTAAATATAACATAGAAATTGGCATTTTTGAGTAAATACAATTATTACCTATATGACGCAATAAAAATATTCTATAATTTATATTAATTTTACAGCGAAATACATGTCCCATTACCATAATATTGATGATAACAATGCAATTTAATGAAATAATGAGTGAAATAAAATGACGAAATTGATATTATTATGCTTCATAAAAGGACAAAAGGATTTATTTTATTGGCTTATATTCAACAAAATATTAAAATTACGTATGTACGTTAGTATAGAATATAAAGACTCGAA